AAAAAAAAAAAAGAAAGTAGGGGGCCAGGGATTTAGCTCAGTGGTGCCGCCGTCTGCCTCGCAAGGGCAAAGTTCCAAGTTTGATCCCTGGTATGGCCAAAAATAAAAGAATGCTTTATATAAAGTGAAAGCAGGTTAAGTAATGAAAGCAGTTCTATCTTCCATCATACTTTGTGAGAGTCGGTACTGGGGTGAGTAGAATATGGAAACATGAACCTACTGCTCTCATAGTTGCTTTCATTTCTCCCTCTTATGTTGTGAGCCCCTAATTATATAGATTGATTCTTGGGTTTAAAAATAGGTATTTCAAGGGGACACTTTCTTGTTTCTTTGGTTTTTTGAGACGGGGGTCTCAGTATGTAGTTCAGGCTGTCCTTGAACTCACTATGTAGCCCAGGCTGGCCTTGAACTCTTTAGGAGGATATTTACAGCCTTGAAATCCCTGTCCAGTCTTCTGTTTTCTGCTGAAACAATGGAAAAGAATTCATTTCTTCCAGCTGAGGTACAGCCCAGCATTTTTTTTAGACAGGGTCTCTCTGAATTAATCACTTAATTCCTGAAGCTGAACTCAACCTTGTGATCCTCCCAGCCTCCCAGAATGCTAAAATTATGAATGTGTGCCACCATGTCCTTTGTTTCATTAAGACATGGATACTAGATTGATGTGATTGCATTAGTATATGAATAAATTTATCTAAACTCATCACATAAAACCTGTATAACTTATTCTATGTAAATGATATTTCAAACAGGAGTTTTGGCAGCGGAGAAAGGAGAGTGTGTCTCTCCATATGACTTCCAGCTTCCAAATTTGATATTAAGAAATCATAAACTATTTTGATTACTGATTTTTTTATATATGTTCTGATATTTTGCTCTGGAAGTTTGTAAAGTCCTCTTTTTGTTCTATATGCTTGTTGTAAGTCTATATTTATCCTTTGTGTTCAACATTCTTCAGGCCATTTCCATCTAGATAAATAATCCTTCATTTCTAGAAAATAGGTCTTTTCATTTTTGTTATGTTTCTAATTTTCAAGAGCTCTTTTATTTTTCCCCCCACATATTCCTTGTTACAAATCAACAAATAGTATACTGCCTTGTTTTCTGCTTCCCTGGACTCATGCCATCTCATATCTTTGATGATACTAATGATAGATTTTTGCTTTTGTTTATTCTCTGATTCTCTCCATAGTATCCATTTTCTCCAAGTTGTCTTTTTTGTGGAGAAGGGGTTGGTGTTGGCTATTTGATGTCTGACTCTTATGTTAGAAGCTTTCCAGATGTCTGCTGAGCTTTGGTAATCGATGTTACCATGGTGAAAGATTAGAGACTCAAACGATGATGAAAGCTCTGAGGACATGGGAGTACTTGTCATTTCACCATTTTCCCCTAGGTGGAACTGGTTTCCCATTTAGAAAATTTCCATGCCACTGTCTTCAGATCTTCCCTCTTTGGACTGGTTGGGGTTTTCCAGAGAAGACTTTCAATCTCCTACACAAAAGATAAAGACCGGGATGCCAGGGTTTTGGAAGAGAGGTGTAAGAAGATGACATGGGTCTCTGCATTCCATGCATGTGTTCATTCACTGCCCCTGTTTGCTTTGGTGCCTTTGCCTCCACACTGGATCCTGTGTCCCAGACCAGAGACCCTCTGTCTTAACCTCTCCACAAAGGTAACCCGTAGTCCATTGGGTTGGAGAAGAGAATCTAGCAGTCTAAATTTTTAAACAGCTTTCTAGCCATTCTACTGATTTTAACTTATCCCCTTTCACTCTTCCATCAGAGAAACCTTGTAGTGCTGTTTGCAGAGCTTATTGAAGATTTTTTCTTTCTTTCTTCTCTTCTTTTTTTTTTTTTGGTACCGGGGATCGAACTCAGGACCTTGCACTTGTGAGGCAGGCAAGACACCACTGAGCTAAATCCCCGGCCCTTCTTCTTTATTCTTTTTTTTTTTTTTTTTTTTTTTAATGTAGGATTACTCTTCTCTGCTGCTAGACTAAGATTCAGCTTTATCAGTTCTGCCAAATCAACTAAAATGTATCCCTTTGCCAAAGTCAGAGACTAGGATTAAGCATTATCCTTAAAATATGACACATTTGGCTTATTTGTTTAGTTAATGCTTACATTCAGTCAGCATCTTTCACTTACCCCCAAATCAAAGAGTAGGACTTTGACAGTTACCTGCATTCTACCACACAACCAACCCCATTGCCCCACCTTTTCACTTGACTGCAACCAGAGGTAATCTCATCCTGAACATTGATCATTTCATTTCTTTCCTTTATATATAGTTATACAGCATATACGTATGTTTCTATAAAGTGTATATTTTTATTTTAGTTCCTTTTGGCTTTATAATAAAAGGCGATATGCTGCATTTAATCAATTGAAACTTATTTTTCACGTGATGTTTTATAACACTGATTTGACCATATTATTACTTGTCGCTGTAACTTACTCATTTTGACTGCTCTGTAATATTACATAGTAGTGAATACTTTCATTTGTCTTCTATCTTCCATAATTTCACTGCTGTTGTTTTCTCTCTTCCTTGTGGATACTTTAAAAAAAATCATTTGCTATAATATCAGTGGCTGTTTTAGGCGGGAACAAATTAGATGTATACATTCGGTCCACCATTTTTGTCTTGGTTACCTAAGTGATCATCAAAAGTAATTTTGACTATATGAGATGTTACTGCCTTGTAGAGCCTAAGTCCTGTATGAGTTATGACTCCATTGCACATTTGTTAAATCTCAGTTATTAGCATTAGTAGATGACACCTGATAATAGAAAACTGACTGGGCAGGGGATTTAGCTCACTGGCACTGTTGCCTGCCTTACAAGCACAAGGTCCTGAGTTCGATCCCCGGTACCACAAAAAGAAAACTGACAAGAACTTACATGATCATCTAGTCCAACTTCCCATGTAGTTTGGAAATATTCCTGGCCAGGAAGCCACAGATAGTGTTTTTGACCCCAGACACACTTTTCAGTAATTATACGTCAAAGAGAAATGTTAATATTTTAGATAGCTTTGATAGCCATGCTGTAATTAAATATGGGATCTTCATAAGACTTGTTTAAATATTGAAAATAGCCTAAAACTGTTGAAGAAATCTAGGGATCTGGTGTCCCAGGTGAAGGCCTCAGTCCTGAGCATTATAAATATAACAGAAGTTAAAACCTTTTCTCTTTTATCTTTTTTTCCATTGCAGAGATGTTATCAAGTGGCTGGTCAAAGCAGTAACTGAAGATAGATTAACTCCGTACCCAAGTGGGAACCAAACCTCTTCCAGAAGAGGAATTTCAAAAGCCAGCAGTGGCCATCCTGCTCCCCAGCCTAACCTAACCAAGAACACCAATCAGCTGTAAGGGACAGGCACAGTGGTCTTTCCTGGGATTATTGGAACAGTGTTTTAGAGAATAACACCAGTCCCAAAGGAGCAGCTTCCCCATATTAATAAGCTCTTGTAATTTAGAATGATCCTTATTAAAGATTTAACTAAAGGCTAAATTTCTAATTCTTAAGGTCAAAGAAAACCCAAAATGGCCAGATATGATGGCACACACATGTCATGCCAGTACTGTGAGAGACAAGCAGGAAGGTCACAAGTTTGAGTCCCACCTGAGCAACTTAGCAACTGTCTCAAAAAATAAAAATAGCTTGACGTGTAGCTCAGTGCAGAGGTACTGAATTCAATTCTCTGTACCAAAAAAAAAAATTTCACCAAGTGAATACAGATTCACAATATAGAAATGAAACGAAAGCTAGAGGACCCTGCCCTCCTATTCCTGAATTCCAAGTACTGTGGCTACTCATTACTTCAGATATCCGCTGACTTAGAGGAGTGGTAGGTAGTGGGTGTTCCAGCAGCCTCTAATGCTCAGGAACCTATGCTTCACTCCCTTATTCCTGGGAAAAAAAGCTAGCAGTTCAACCTGGCTCAGACCAGGGCAGGTTCTGTTACCTCAGACTGCACTGTAAAGACTTCATGGCTTCTTTTTTTTGGAGTTGAGAGTGGACCTGGTATTTTTTGAGAGACACCAGGATTTAAGAGGTGAGGGTTTCCTAACACAACCTGGAATTTTATGTCTATCATACTGGTAAAAGGCAGTCATTCTTGACATTTCAAATATAGCATTTGCACCTAAATTCGTATATGGCAACTATGTAATATAATTGGATCAACCTGATTTTGATATTAGACCTATAGTTTTCAACTAATTTAGGAGACAGTCTTATCTCAAAGGGGGACTTTTTTAGAACAGTGAAGCATTGGCATATTGGGGAAGATCCTAAAGTTGGGTTATCCCACAGTCTCCATTTACAGACCCAAGAGGGAACCAGACATGGTTTCTTCAATGGAAGGTAACCTCATCTAATGTAATAAATTTGTAAGTAAATATTAAAAGAAATAACAGTAGGACCCCTAAAAGTTCATTGTGTCATGATCTTATCAGCAGTAATTATAGGTGCTAATATTTACCATCATTGAGTACCTGTCAGATACCTTTCACATCACTCACAACTTGATGAAATAAATAGATGATAATATTCCCCCTTTTAATAGGTGAATGGATCTGGACTCAGAGCAATTTAGTAATTTGTTGAAGATTGAACTAAAGAGCCAGAATTTGATACCAAAGTGCTTTGTCTGCCTATTGTGTCATTAGCTGCAGGTTTTCTGAAAATAAAACCTTTCTTCTGTCACAAATAATACATATTAGAAAAGGCTGGCATCAGGCCGGGCTTACCTTTTTGAGGTGTTGCCCGGATTCCTGAAGCTATGTCAGGCTGGCTCTATCCACAAGCAGGTCTGATGGGAGGAGTCAGGTTCCAACAGTGGAAGTTCTGAGACTGCATGTAGTAAGAAACTATTGTACTGTAAAGGAACCAGTTGGAGAAAATTATGTGACAGATATATAATTACTACTGTATCAAATAAATTTTTATTCATTTTGGACCTGGTTTTCTTCACTTACAAAATGGGGAAGGTATAGATTAGATAGTCCTTAAAGTTCTCTGGACCCTTTAGATTGTGTGGTTCTATTTTTGAGTTTAAAAGCAGCTTGCTTTTGCAGCTTACCCCCAGGTTCTGAGAGGTTCAGATAGTATGATCTAGCAAAAGGGATTCAGGTAGGTGAAATTGCTAAATGGAAGTGTGCTCATGTCCTGAGTAGTTTTCCCTGATCTAGGGTGTGCTTTACAAAATCCTTTAGTAGTCTGTATTCTTAGAGTACATTTGTGGGGACCTCCTCCCAGTCACAAGTGTCCTCCCACTCAACTGTGTCCTGTGTTCTGGACTCAGGATTGTGTGCCAGCTTCAGAGGATGTTGTCCATAGCTGTGGAGGTGGACAGGACTCCCACCTGCAGCTCCAATAAAATTGCTGAGATGATGTTTGGGTTTGTGCTGGACATACCTCAGAGGAGTCAGAGGTGAGTCTAGTTTTGTTTTTGTTTTGGTTTTTCATTAAAAAAGAAAGAAACTTCTAGGAAAGTCATTTTCATAAATTATCTTTTCTACCTATACTTCCTGCTCAAAGCAGAATTTTAAAAGAGAAAATCCTAAACTATAGTTTAAAAAGGAGAAATGGATCATTTATGTATCTATGACCATCTGAAAGGAGATTCCCAACTAATAGCTATTATTTGCAAATAAGGCATAATCTCTTGGGGAAAGACAAGATACCCTAAATGGAGACTAAATTTTCCTCTCATGTCTATTTGACTGATAACTTATCCTTCAAATTTAGAATTAAAATAGACAAAAATAATAAAAGCTGGCCCTACTTTAAAATTCTGTCAGAAAGGACAAATTGGCCATCCACCCCGATTTTACCAGAAGATACTTTATTTGGTTTTTATTTTAGTTTTAAATCTAGGTATAATTTACATACAATTATGTACACTAATTTACAAACTTATCTTTCGGTGAGTCTTGGCAAATGCACTCATCTACATGACTTGTCATTTCCCAGTGGCTTATTGGTAATATATTGAAAAACTGCAACCTTGATAAATTCATTTATTTTTAGTAGATTTTTCTGTTTTTTTAGGATTTTCTACATATTACAGTCATGTTATCTACAAATAAAAAAAAGTCTAACGTTTTCCTTTTGAATATGTATGCCTTTCCTTCTTTTTTTTTTGCCTTGCTCCTGATCTTAGGGGAAGAACATTCAGTCTGACCATTAAATGTGAACTTCTCTATAGATGTTTCATAGGTGCTCTTTGTGAGATTGAGGAAGATTCCCTCCATTTCCAGTTTACTGAGTGTTTTTCTGAAGAATAAATACTGAGATTTATCAAGTATATATTCTGCACCTATTGAAATTAGCACAATTTTTCTTCTTTATTTTATTGGTATGAGGAGTTATACTGATTCCTGTAATTTCTTAAATTTTAATCAACTTGCATCCCTGGAATAAAAATCTTACTTGGATGCATGTGACCCTTTTTATATATTGATGGATTCCAGTTGCCAGTATTTTGTTAAAGGTTTTTTTTAATAAGAACAATATTCTGTAATTTTATTCTCCTATAATATTCAATTTCATTCATATTTAAGGAAAAATAAATTAAAACTGCACTGAAATGCTATTTTTTGCCTAAGAAGTAAAAAATCTAAAGAATAATAATACACTCTGCTAGTAAGGCTACGAGAAAACAGATATTTATTCATTGCTGTTGGAAATGCAAAGATGATACAAGCCTAATGAGTAGGAAGTTTGTAGTTTGGACCAAAATTGAATGTGCATTTACCTCTTGGCCCTGCAATCTCACTTCTAGAATTCACCCCGAAGACACACTTCTAATAACAGGAAAATACATATGCCCAAGGATATTCACTATAGCATCATTTGTAATTAATTTCAAATATTATAACCCAAATGCTCACACATAGGACAGGGGTTGAATACCTATTATATATCTACATGATGGAGTATTATGCAGTTATAGAAAGATGAAAATAAATAAAAGGATATTTTCTACTTAATTGATTTCCAAGATATAGTGTTGTTTAAAAAAAAGCAAAATGCAAAAATGAGTAAAATTCTGCATATCTTTTTTTAAAAAAAGAAATCTAAAAGTACATAAGAGTCAGTCATTTGTAAAAAATAAAAAGCCATAGACCAATAAAATTGTTTATGTAAAGAGGTGGGTGAGAATGGGATAGGGAAAAGAAAAGGTACTGCTCAGGAGTGGTAGTGGAGACAGTGGTGGTGGTGATAAATCCTTTCTTGAGTATGCCTTTTTGTATAGTTACAACTTTTAAACTTTATGTTAAAGTTTCATACATAAAAGAAGAAAGAAACAAGAAATCAACAAGGAAGTTCAGGGAGTGCTTAAAATGAATAACAACAGAAATAAATGAACTATTTTAAATTACTAAAATGGAAAGGGAGTGATGAGCCCAAGTGACTTGTTAAAAGCTTAATTTTGCTGGGGATTTAGCTCAGTGGTTCTGCCGCCTGCCTCACAAGCACAAGGTCCAGAGTTCGATCCCTGGTACCGAAAAAGAAAGCTTAATTTTTAGGGGCTGGGGATTTAGCTCAGTGGTGCCGCCACCTGCCTCACAAGTGGTCCTAAATTCAATTCCCATTACTGAAAAAAAAAAGCTTAATTTTTAAATAATTATGGATTTACAAGAAGTTGCAGAAACTATTAGAAAGAGATATTGGTATCCTTTACCCTGTTTTTCCCCCCGTGATTGCATCTCCTGTAACTATAATACAGTATCATAAACAGGATATTAACATTTATACAATCCAATACTTTATTCAAATTCCATCCATCATACATGCACTCTGTTGATGTATAGCTCTGTGCAGTTTTATTATGTGTAGATTTATGTTACCACTGCTGTCAAGACACAGCTGTTCCATCAGCACAGGGATCTCTCCTGCTTCCCTTTTATAGCCACAACTACCCATCCTCCCAACTCCTGATAGCCACCAATCTATTCTCCCATCTTTGTCCACGTAATATAAAACACAATATTTGGACTAAATGCATTCATGCTAAAGACAAACTGGACTATAAATAAATATTGAACTCAAGTTTCTAGGTTTCTAGAACTAATAGCTAGGATTAAACAAATACAGTATTGTAGATAATGAGAACTATGTTTCTTACTGTGAGAGACTAGGGCTACACATAAGAAAAGGGGAAAGAATAGAAGGAGCCCTGTAGTGCTAGATTAGAATTGGAGGTATCAATATAATCTTATGGTTTCTAATAAGGGGGATAAACATAAGAATAGAAATAAATGTGTGAAAGGTGTGCTTATTATTTATATAACATATATATATATGTATGTATGTGTATTCATATGTTTTCCTACCTTAGTGCACTCAGCATAGAAGTCTTACGCTGTAGTTTCAGTGGTCTATCTCATACCTAGATCTTTGTTTCTAGAACGCAAACTTTTTTTCTTTTTTTTTTTAGTACCAAGGATCGAACTCAGGTCCTTGCACTTGCGCATCAGGCGGCAAAACCACTGAGCTAAATCCCCGGCCCCCTAGATCATTGTTTCTAAATACCAGTTTACACTAAAAAGAACTGAAGTTCCTTGAGGAATGACTGATTGCAGTACAGAAGAAGGGAAAGTGCAATATAAGCCTGAAACATCCTGTGTCAGAAAGTAAGGAGTATTCAAAGAATGTTCAGAATATGTCTAAAGACACATGAGTCGGCTTAAAGATGCTTCCACTCACCAAATCTGGGATAATTTGAACCTCAAAATGATATTAACAGTGAAGAATTTAATCTGTCAAATAAAAGGAATCCATTTGTTCCAATACTGACAGGAAGAAAAGAAAAGGGACCTAAAAATATAAATGATGAGTTAAGAAAAAAAGTGGTTTTTGGCAACTATCATGATAATTTAGATATAAATGGATACTAAAATGGTGAAAGTTTATAGGTAACAAGATATTTTCATAGTCTCACCTTATATCCTGATGAGATACTCAAGGGAAATAAAAGTACAGTAGAGACTCTGCCTTAAAAAAGTGATAAAAGTTAATAGCAACAGTAGAGGCACTGTGTGCCTCTTGATATGATACACTGAGAATAACAAAACATCTTTATTCCAAAAATGTATAGCCTTGATCTATTTGTAGGAAAATATCTGGTAAATCTCAAATGAGAGACATTCTATGAAAAAAATGACCTGTGCATTCAAAAATGTCAGTATTATGAAAACAGCAACATTAAAGAATTGTTCTCTCATCACATAGCCAGGTGTGGTGGCGCATGGCTATAATCCCAGCACTTAGTAGTTGGAGGCATAAGGATCACTAGTTCAAGGCCAGCCTGGAGTACATAGCATGACCCTATCTTAAATACCCAGTCTTTAATAAATTAATAAAACATAACTAAATGCAGTGCATGATCTGGGATTTTCTTTTGCAGGGAATAACATTAGGGCAAAAAGAACAATTTAAGGTTTGTGGTTCATATATTAGCATGTGTATGTTAATTTCCTGACTTTTGTTTTCATTTTTTTGTTGTTTTTTTTTTGGTACTGGGGATCGAACTTGGACCTTGCATGTGCAACACAGGCAGCGGAACCACTGAGCTAAATCCCCGGCCCCAGTTTTCCATTATTTTTTATGGGAAAAATAATGTTTAGTTCTTGAACTTTTCAGTGTTCAAACACAAATTTGGAATAAATTGAGTTCAACAACTGAGGTATCACTGTATATGCAAAATTAAATAGCAACTCTCTGTCTCTCTCTCTCTCTCTCTCTATATATATATATATATGCACACAAACATATTGCTGCCTCATTTCTGAAACAAATTCTATGCATCTCAGCTGTCTAGAACTCCAGTCTTTGTTTATTCTTCCCAGCAAGTCCGTTGCTTTTTGTTTATGAGCCACATTTTCCTCTGCCTTAGTTACAAAGTATCCTCAGCAAAAAATCTGGCTTAAATGTGGGGTCCACGGCCTTTGCTTCCCATCTATCAAGAGAAACAGTTCTCTGTAGATGTTGTCCAACACCTGAAATTTGTTTCGTGTATTTAGTCTAGTTTTATGGTTTTTATATAAAAGTAAGCCCATACCATGTACTGTTTTTAGGCCAGATCTAGATACTGGCCTTTCTTTGTAGGAATAAGAATTTTGAACTTGAGTAAGTATATGTAATTTTTAATGTTGAATTTGAGTGAGTATAGATAATTCTACTTCCAGTTCTTACTGTATTCAATACCTTGAGATTACTTCCTTGTCCTGTGTAGGTCTCTGAGTTTACCAAATGTGGACTATAAAGCCAGGACAAATGCAGGCTCTAGCCTAAAATTTGAAGAAATGATACAGTTTGAATAAAGTTATTAAATAGAAAAATTCTCTTGTGAGAGTAATAAAACAAATACAGAGTAGAAATTACACTTTAAAAGAATTTGAGCCAGACATGGTACACACCTGTAATCCCAGCACCTGGGAGGCTGAGGCAGGAGGATTGACCACAAGTTGGCACTCATGCCATAGGTTTGCCACCATTGCCATAGACCATGTCATCAGTGATTGCCCTCCAGTCGCTAGCCAGATGTGTTCTCTTCTGGGTATTGTTGGAGCACCGTTAGCACTTCACATATCTGCACACGTGGCCTGTTGTCTCTAAGTTCCCATTATATACCTCTTGCCCCTATTCAATTAGACTGGTGCCTTCTTTTATTTATCTTACTTTCCTTCTTCAGTAGTTGATGTGTTACAAACATTCAGAAATATTTATTCTCATGATTAATTCTCATAGTATGATGTAATTCTTTTTATTGTGTCCTAAACTTGTCTTTTTCAAATGTCAAAGATTTTTCCCTCATCCCAGTAATTGTTAATTCATAAACAAATCCATTTCTGTCCTGTACATAGGCATTATGATTCCGTAGGCCTCTACTGTATACCTTCTTTTAACTATCTTGTTGGGACAGATGTTAAGACAATTCATGGTGAATTGTGGTATGTGTTCTTTGAAATGTGATTGTGATGGTTAACTCGCTCTTCACACAGGGAGATGTTCTTTACAACCATGGAAAGCCACCTACTGCGCTGCAAGGTGTTAGAAATCATATTCCTCCACAGCTGCGAGACGCCCACCCGCCTGCCCCTGTGTCTGGCCCAGGCTCTCTATTTCCTGAATAATTCCACCTCACTACTCAAGTGTCAGGTACATTATTTCCTGCTCCAATTCTAAGCCTAGAACACCTTTTCCCCAATCCTGCCCATGAGATTTTTAGCTTAAAACACAACTGCTTGAGCATTATGTAAAAATGACTTGAAAATTGTGTGAAAATTTTAACTGAGGAAGTTATTATCAGTTACTGTTACTGTCTCTGCAGTCTGATAAAACCCAGTGGCAGACTTGGGATGAGCTGGTGGAGCATCTGCAGTTTCTGTTGTCCAGTTATCAACATGTTTTAAGAGGTAAGATGCACTTGTTCACAAATAGATGGTGTGGGGGGCCGGGAATTTAGCTCAGTGGTTCCACCACCTGCCTCACAAGCACAAGGTCCTGAGTTCAATCTCTGGTACCAAAAAAAAAAACAAATAGATGGTGTGGGAGGTCTCACAGTGGGCATTATTAAGAATAATAATTACTCAGGGGATTCTAATTTGTTCACTTAAGTAAAGCACTGTTCCTTGGTTGTACTATAAAGGATGGCATAGCTACAATCACTGCTATGAAAAATAAAAATTGCGTATCTTTATTATGTCTGATAATACAGTGGTTCTCCTCCTTATCAGGTTGTAGAGATAAATAAAAGTCATCATGCCAAGTGTGGTGGTACACACATGTAATCCCAGCACTCGGGAGGCTGAGACGGGATCACTGTGAATTCAAGGCTAGCCTGAACTACATAGTGAGTTCAGGGCCAGCCTGGAATATATAGCAAGACGCTGTCTCTAAAAAACATGAATAAAAATAAATAAAAGTCATCATAATATGAGCTAATGAATGACCTGATTAACCCTGGCATTTGATGCTGACCTCTCACTGCAACATATTTGTTGAGTTGATTGTAAACATCTGTCAGTTCAATGCAAATACAATACGAAGCAAATCAGTCTTGTACATCTTGCAAAATATGTGAGATATCCTAAAGTCTGTAAAAGTAGCTCTTCAGAGATCCTCAAATCACAGGTGAAGCCAGCGACCAGAAAGCATCTGAGAGTTAGAGCAGGTAGCCTTGGAGGCAAATGTTGACAAGGATAATCATGTATCACTTCTTTGAATAAAAATTATTTTAGTAGCCAAGCATTATTGAGGGCCTTGGGAAAACTGAAGAACTGGTGAGATACTAATTACAAAAGGAAAAATAGTACCTTAACACAGGAGAAAACTGGCATTTTCCTTGGATGTACTGGAGAAGGACATACCATCATATAGTGTTCTTGCCAAAAATTCATGACCTGGATCTAATCAGAAGGAAGCCAGGCAAACTCAGATTGGTGGCCCTTTACAAAATAACTGACCATACTGTTCCAGATTAAAAAGAAACTAAACCATATGAATACTAAATGTAATACACAATCCTAGGCTGGATCCTTAACTAGGAAAAAAATAAGTTATAAAGTATGTTACTGGAGAGCTAGGGGGAGTGGGCCAAAGTGATAAAGCAGGCACTGGGCCCTGCGGTCAAATCCCCAGTATCTCACACACAAAAAAGATACATTATTGGGACAATTGGCAAGATTTACAGACATTAGATAATAGTAAAGTTTATTTTTGATAATTACACTGGATTATGATAATAAAATGTCCTGGGTCTTATGAAGTCCATACTGAAGTATTGAACATAGCGTCTGCAAATTATTCTCAAATATTAGGAAAAATGTGTACATGTAAATATACTTGCCCATGATTGTGATGCAGTTGACTTTAACTCAGTAATGGCACATGAAGGTAAAAGAACACTTAGATCCCCTGAGGCTTGAAACTGAGAAAGCTGTTGTGGAGACATGTTTTTTCTGTTGGTTTTGTTGTTTTTGTTGTTGTTTTTGGTACTGGGGATTGAACTCGGTCCTTGCACTTGCGAGGCAGGCCGAGGAACCACTAAGCCAAATCTCCAGCCCGAGACATGTTTTTTAAGGAAAGGACTGAATTAAAGACAGTCTGATTTTAAATCCCAGCTCTACCCCTTCCTCTGGTTGGGGAGCCTGAGGCAGTTTAGAATAAGTTGGCATGTCATATTTCTGCTTAAAAGACTTCAGTTTAAACTTCTTAAGGATAAGGATATTCTCCTACAAACCATTCACTGTCCATCATCACACCCAAGAAAATGACTCCTGATAGAATATCATCTAATATTGTCCAGTAATGTCCTATACAGTTGATTGGTTTTGTTTTGAGCCAGGTTCTAGCCAAGTATTAAGCATTACACTTACAGTGATGCTTTGACTTCTTCCTTTTTTTTTTTTTGAGACAGGTTGCCCCAAGGCCAGGGTGGCCTTGAACTTGGAGCAATCTTCGCACCTCAGCCTGAGTGCTGGGATTATACGCATGCACAACCAACACCTAGCATTTTACTTGTCTTTCATAATAGACATTTTTTAAGAGTCCCAGCCAATAATTTTGTAGACTGTCCCATTGTTGGAATTGTGTGATTATTTCCTCATGATCAAAACTCATGTTAAAGTTTATTGGCAAAATTACCAAATAGATGATGATATATCCTTCCTGTAATTCCAGCACTCTGGGAGGATGAGGCAGGAAGACTCCAAATTCGAGCCTAGACTGGACAACTTAGAGACTTAGTGAAACCCACTATAAAAAAACAAAGCCATTGTCTTTTGGAGTAAGGTAGGGTCTATAAGACTTCTCCATTATTTTCCCTTTATTAGTAAGTAATTCAGTGGGTGAAACTTTGAGGCTGTGACTGTCCCATTCAACTTTTCACCTGATGGCTGTAGCATCCATTTGGGTTTTACTTCAATCAAATAGTACGTTGAAAAGTGGCAGTATTCTAGTTTCTTAACGTCATTCTGCAGTTAACTGGACTTCTTGTGAGGGGAAAAAAAAAAAGGACCCCTACATACCTGTAATTTTTTTTTTTAACAATATACTCAGGACTTTAAAGAAAAATCCAGTGTGTTAAAATAATTCATTTCTGGCATTTTTTTCTAATCACACTAACAGGAGAATTGGCTCCTGTGTACTTTTAACAGATCCCCATCAATTACGGGGCTTTAGATTTTGTTTTTGCAGTGTTAGGGATTGAACCCAGGGCCTTCAGACTGAGCTACTTCCCAGCCCTTTTTTTATTTTTTCAGAGGGTCTCAGTCTGAATTGCCCGGGCTAGGCTCAGACTTGCAGTCTTCCTGCCTCAGCCTCCTGGAGTGCTGGGATCAGTTTTAAATGTTCCCTTTCTCACAAAAGATGTTCCAGGTTCAGCCTGTAATTACCTTGCCTTGGTCCTATAGTTAGCTTTTTCTCAAAAAAATCTGATTTTAGTGGAAAGCTGAGTGTGTATGAAAGCCAAGAGCTGAATTAGTGCCTGGAAAGTGCTGATTGCTACTGGAATGTCTCTGCTTCTAGGCCTTCTGACAACAGGGCTACTAAGTTATATCATTTTACTTTTTTATATAATACACATTCATACTGACACCTCAGTCTCTACTCAATACTGTTCCGGAATCGCGAAAGAATGCACAGAGACACAGAAGTTGGGTAAAATAAAAAGTTTACTCACAAGCAGGCAGGACTGCCAGAAACTGGTATGGTCAGAGTCCACGCCCTGTGTTCTTTGTCCATCACCTTTTATACTTTTGTCAGTCATTATCTCATCCCTAGTGGTCTTTGTTAAGTAAATAAAGGTCCAATTCCTGTTTAATGGCTAGACACAGGTGGTTTCTGTCACTGATTACAGTCCTAAACACATGACAGTTAAGGCACATACATCACAAGTGTGTTCAAGGATTTCCACTTTGTTCTTCAGAGCTAAGATGTTACCTATAGTGGAGCTATAGATCAAAGGAGCTGTATAACCTTCACTTTAAACACCAGAAGCAATGGGCTAAGGCAAGCTTTTAAAGGGATACACTACCTATTTTGCTTTCACAACTACTTTAATAGCTAATCTACTAAACTTACTTTAAAACTTTTCCCTATCAATACCACAGGATTCCTCCTCTCTTCCTATTCCATACCTGAATCTCCCTTCTCTCATGAGAACTCTTGCTCCCAATATGAATTATTTATTTATTTGATCTATCATATATACACACAAGTTTCAGAGCCAGGCATGGTGGCACACACCTGTAATGGCAGCACTGTGTGAGGCTAAAGCAGGAAAATCACAAGTTCAAGCCCAGCCTGAGCAACTTAGTGACTTAGTAAGACCCCATCTCAACAAATAAAAAGGGCTGGGGATGTAGCTCAGTGCAAAGGCCCTGGATTCAATCCCTAGTACCAGGGGCTGAAGTGGGAGAAAAGTTTCAGAATAATACAATAAAAAAGTACCACCACAAACTTAGTTCAATATTTCTTTCCATTTCTCTTCATACTTAGAAATGTACCTAAAGTTATTCAAAACTCACCTAAATTTTTTCAAGTAGCATATTAATTTGAAATAGTTTATTTTATTGTTTAAATCAAAAGGGAAAAAAACTAAAAGAATATAATTTTTTTTTTCCGGTACCAGGGATCGAACTCAGGACCTTGCACAAGAATACAGTTTTTTAATATATTAAAACTTATTAAATGTCCAAATAACACAGGCCTTTTTGGAAATGGGGCTACCACAGGAACTCACATGCCTGTGACTTGTCTCCCAGTAGGTAGGCAATAGGCCTTTACCTTGTAAAGTTGGACTTTACCTTCATAAATTGTAAAAGTAAAAAGCATTCCAGTTTAACTGACTTCTTCCCTCTTGCAGAGCACCTACGCAGTTCAGTGATCGATCGAAAAGATTTGATCATCAAAAAGATTAAGCCCAAGCCCCAGCAAGGAGATGACATCACAGTGATGGACGTGGAGAAGCACATCGAGGCCTTCCGTAACCGCCTGATCCAGATGCTAGGGGAGCCTCTGGTCCCCCAGCTCCAAAATAAAGTGCACTTGTTGAAGCTCCTGCTCTTCTACGCTGCAGATCTGAACCCTGACGCAGAGCCATCATCAAAGCACTAGAACAGCCCATGAGGGTCTCCTAAGCACTGAGCACCAAGAATACCTCCTTAAACTGTTTCCATCTACTTAGAATGTCTCAAAGTATGAACAGTAGTTAAAATCTTACAGGACCAAACCTATCTTATTTATCTGTAGGTTATAATAACTAAGTTTTCAGTGTATATCTTTTTTTTAATAATCCTATTCTAGCCTGTTCTCAAATATGGCTTAAATATATAAGGTGTATATATATTTTTAATAAATTATTTATCTACACAATTTTTGAAACAGGTAATAGTATATGCACTATATATTTTAACATTTCCATTCAAGATATGAGAGAATCTTCTGCTGGACAAACTACATCACTGTATGTCACTCAAAGCACTGACAGCCTGTTTCTGGAAAGATGCTGTTGTTCCCTAATAGAACACAGACATCATATAGTAGACTTTTTATATTACCTATAAATATGACTTTGTGGCCAGTCTATTGGTATCTAATGTAACAAAGGGGGATAGTGCATAGAAACAAAAGGATAGCATGTGTTATAAAACATTTGATGTTAAAAATGATATAATAAAAAGCCAACAGTTTTTCAAAATATCAACTTTACCATGCTTAGGTTCTGACTGGGGATAAGCAGAATGGCTATTCAAAACAGGACAAAAAGACAGATAACCACATATGAGAAAGTAGTAAGGATTTTTATTGTCAAAACAAGAAAAAGACAAATAAATTAATTGTGACAATTTTAGACTCCAGGGCATCTCTATGGAAGATCAGTTCCTATGTAAACAAAATGCTACCTAAAACAAAAAACAGCACAGGTTGAGGATTTAGCTCAGTGGCGCCATGCCTGCCTCACAAGTGCAAGGTCCTGAGTTCGATCCCCAGTACAGCAAAAAGAAAAGCAGTATCTGAGACTGTTCACCACAATGAACGTGTACATAGTGAGAAATAAAAAAGCAGTTTCTCTTTCCTTTCTTCAGTAAGGTATGTGTCACATAAAGGTATGAGCCTCATTTTAGTGAGAAATTCTTCCATTACAGAAAAATTTTGAATTCTTGGACCAATCTCACCCCACAAAATTTCAGGCCCTGATCTGGCCAAAAATCAAAACATGACTCATTTTATATGAACCTAAAGTCTATAACTGTACTAACCATCTTTACATTAAAAAAAATTTAATATAAATATCTAGGGGTTAGGGGTAAGCTCAGTGGTATTGTGCCTGTCTAGCATGTGTGAGGCCCCAGGTTCATTCCTAGCACTGCCCCCAGGAAAAAAACCTATACATATGTAATCAGTATGAAATCAGGAGACTGAATTTTCTCTTAGTTTTCAACCAAATTGGACTTTAAACTAATCTCACTTTAAAGTGCAAGACAGGATAAGCAACACTGTTCTATCATAAGAGGGAAGTATCTCTCCTGTGGCAGTGGCCCAGGAAGTACCAAGAGGCATGAAGGAATGGCTGCAGGACAAAATAATCCGTTAGGCTGACTAAAAAGTAAGGTGACTCCAAGTGACATCCCTCCCTGGACTGCCTGCTAACTGTACCCAGATCTCAAATGTATCTTAGGTCCCAAATGATGAGCTGGAGCACAGCACCAGCACGGTCAATGGGCCAAAGTTAGTGCCCAAACAAGTTAGTGGGCACCTCTACACCATGATTTGTCAATGTTCATGTTGATCATGATAAAACAAATATCAGTTTTGCACTAGCATAAACATTATTTACCTAGTAAGCAGTGATTGAAGTTCTTGTCTAGGGTATATGATACAAAAATAGGTTGCAAGGTCCCCCAAAATTACGGCTCAGATTTTTTTAGTCCAAAGCAGTACAAAATGGTTTCTTCCACACAAGTACAAGCTTTACACTGTTTCTCAAAAATTAACTATCTCCAGTGGTAGCCTCCATTTAAGAGGTTTAAAAATATACCATTCCTATGTGAGAGCCAAGGGAAGTGGGACACAAGAAACCCTCTACCCTGGGACAGAAAACACTCTAGAACCCAGTAGGTGTGAGAACATTTAAGTCACGTGGTTTGAGATTATGGGTCCGCAGTGGTGGTTTCTTCGTTTCTATCACTGGGATGTCCATCTTGGGTGGCTTGAAGGTTGCTGGATCTTCAGCCATTCGGGTGGCTTGGGCACGGATAAGCTCCATGGGAGAGGGCTTCTGGGCTCCTTTGTAGGCCTGGACAGCAAAACCTCCTACAGAAATAAATCAGAGAGCAAATGATTGCATAGGTGGCACTCAGTGTACAACATGGTAAAAGTCTGCCTCGCTGCTTTCTTCTTTAGAGAAGCTGTCTTACCAGAATCAGACTTCTGGAGGGGTCTTGATCCAAAGACATTCCATTTATCTAATGAGGTTCTATCCTTATCCCCACTTCCAGGATCCATGGTGCTAGGATTTGGGCCCGTTAAAGCTGTGGAGGAACCAGTCATGAACCAGCCTCTGGAAGAGAGAATAAAACATAACCTAATATATCTTCTTCTTGCACCTCTAGAAGTGTCTCATTTCTAGAACTTGAACTGTGAACTGGGCCTCTGCTCTGAAAACTCAGCTTAAATGATACATCATCCGAGCACCAGCTTTCCTGAGGCACAATGAGGCTCAGAAGGGTCTGGGGAAGGGCTCACCTGGACTTCTGCTTCGGGGAAGAATGAGGGGTGCTGCTTGGACTGGACTGGGCTGATGCAGGCTGCTTCTCTTCTTTTGTTGTCTCTCCACTCTGCAGCTTTAGTTTCTGTTCAGATGGGTGAAAAGAAAGACTTAGCAAAATGACAGCAAACCCATAACAAACTACAAAGCAGCTAGGTCTGGGCACAAACATTTGGCTCACATTCTAACTTAGGACAAGAAAAAATATTCAGAGGTAGAATGATTTTAGACTATATAACTCATATTCCTTTGTGCCATATTCAATGAAATTCCATCTTTTTAAACAATTACACACAGTCTATAACATCTCAAAACCTCTATACTAAAAGCTGTGCACTAGAGCTTTTAAAATGAAGTAACTTTTTCACAGGCACCCAGTCAGTAAGTAGAACTCAAGATGCAGGCCTTCTTGGCCTTTTAAACAGGACCTTGCACTCTCCTCTCCCTACAACTCCTACCATGTACCAGGTGCCATTCACAAACTCTCAAAGCCAAGACTCAGGCTTGCTCTTCCTCTTTAGCTAAATGCTTCTTCCATGGAACCTGCCCCATTCTTCCTCTTCTCTCCCATAAGCAACCAGTCTCAGTGTCATTAGCATTGTAAGTAAATATATCTACAACAGACTAGCGGTTCCACTAGTAAACTACTTCTCAGTTCTAGGTCAAAGTTCTAGTGTCCCTATCCATGGGAGTGCATGGTATGCATGTGCTTACCCCAAGCTACATTCTCACTCAGCAGATCAGTGTGTGAGTTGACAACTTTACAAGATGGGGCTAGTAACATCTATCATTTCAGTCATCCTCACATTCTACCCCTGTGACCAGGATGCAGAATGTGGGTGGGCCAACCAAAGTCAATCTTATTATTATAGACAGCTAAGTTACATAGAGATATTGTAGGGAGTCAGACAGGGCGAGGCCCTCAAGAGAGTCCATACAAAAGATGAAAACACAACAGTGGCCAAAGGCACATCTGTGGGAGGCCAGACCTCAAGAAAGATGGAATGACCAGGCCTACATGCCTCCCCAGGGGATAAGTGGTAACGCTTGGTCCAATAAAGTCTAGACAGACATCAGTCACCCCCAGTGGGCAACCAAGACCCCCAGACCCATCCTTTCCTAAAAAAGTTCTTTGTTCTTTCCCTGTACACTTGCTACATGACCTGCTTCCCCACTGGATCAGTATTACCTAAGCGGCTATACTTGTAATCTTATTGGTTGGTCACAGTTTTGACCCACATTGTACCCACCTCGTGATTTTGCTCTATAAAACTTCCTCTGTGAAATGGGGTCTGTGGTAACCCATTTTCAGGTCCCCTCCTGTCTCAGGAGCTCTATCTCTCTCTCAATAAATATTTCCTACTCTTAATATAGTATATATTTTGTTATTTTATACTAATACACTCTCATATTACAAAGGCAATTTACTGGAAGAATCTTCGTTTTGATATTTGAGTCATGTGAACACAAACAGAACTATACATTTTTTAAAAATGTGTGTGGATAACAACAACAAAAAGACAAATTAAAACAACAACAAAATAATTGTCCTTTTTTTAATTCTTTTTTTTTTTTGGTACCGGGGATCAAACTCAGGTCCTTGAGCTTGCGCAGCAGGCAGCGAAACCACTGAGCTAAATCCCTAGCCCTAATTGTCCTTTTTTACAGGTGGACATTGAAGTGGACCTAATTCAGTTATCTTTTTAAAATCCTCCAAAGACAAAAGGCAGCTTAAAATCTAAGACGAATTAAAAAAAAAAAATGGTTACTAAACTACTGGTCTCTGGCACCGTTTTCTGTTTTCTGTTGTTTTGATGCAGGTTCTTCTTTGTCTGTTTCTTCTCTTGCTCTTTTCACTGGTCCAGCTGCACCATTTTCATCACATTCTTCATCACTATGAAATTTTGTTTTCTTGCACTGAAACTGTACTTTTCCTTTAGCAGATCCAGGCTGGGCAGCTTTATTTCCTTTTCCTTTACCTTTAAATCTGCAACCTTTTGATTTCCATTTGTTTAGGGATTCTTGTTGATCTTCTATGATTTTTTTCAAAGCTTCTTTCTCCACCCCTCCTTCCAGTACTTCCCAAGTCACTTCTTTGTTCCTTAATTGTAGGCTACCATTGTTTGCATCTTTGGCTTTATCCAGTGCTTCCTTGGCTTTTTCTTTAAATAGAATTACTCCCTCTTTTGCTTCCCTGACAAAGTCTATCCATTTTATTTCCCCATGATTTGAGAAAAGAACATGCAAATCTTCTCTACAGGTCTGATCATCTAAGTCACCTGAGAACTTCAGCAAGCAGCCAATCTTTTCTTCTAGAGATTTCATTTCAGCATCTTCTGCTAACTTCTGTTTTTCTTCTTGCTCTGTTTAGCTATTAATTTAGCTTCCACTTTATTTTGCTTTCTTTCTTCATTTTTCTTTGCAAAATAATCTTCCTTAAAAAGTACTAGCAAGTCTGTGTCTATACTTCTGGCCCAGAGTTTCTACAAACTTCTTGGCAGATTCATTGCTAACAAACACAGCAAATATTGATCCCTTAAATCCTTTGTGTAATGTTCTTCTCATCTGGATATTTAGTACTTGGCCTTTATCTTCTAGCCATTCTTTGATATCATCGAGGGTTATATCCGTTGGGAAGCCTTTAATATAAACAGATCTGTTTTTTACATCATTTTTATACTCATCAGTCACTTCAGGGAGGGGTTTGTTTGGAGATTTTCTGATTTTAGTTTTATCTTCACTGATTTCCATGAGTTCTGCTTTAGATTTGCTCAATGCTTCAACTATTACATTAAAAAGTCTATTGTTAGGCAATTGAGCTTGTTGAATTTTATCATTATTTCCAAGGGTACCCAGCCTTCATCCAATTTGATCTGTTCCTTTAAAAATTTGTCCTGTGGCAGGGCCGGGGTTTTAGCTCAGTGATTTTGCCGCCTGCTGGGCAAGGGCAAGGACCCAAGTTCGATCCCCGGTACCAAAAAAAAAATTTGTCCCATGGCAAACTGAAGTCTCCAAAATAATACTCAATTTGATGACAGATTTTGGCCTCCAGAGCACCTAGTTTTTCATCACCACCATTTTCAGCCATTGTGGCTAATCTTTAAGGCCATGGTCCCGCATGTGCACCACAGGTTCACTGACAACAACAACGACCTAACCACTCCTCAACGCTGCCGGCTTAACTAATATTTCCTACTCTTAACCTTCACTGTACCTCAGAATTCATTCTTCAATTTTAGGAAACACCAACTCATTGTACCCAACATCTCACAGGTTGGGAGGTATATTTATCACCCCTATATCACTAACCCTGTATGAGAGGAATTCCTCAAATGGAATTCTGACACCTGCCTGGAAGGTAGTCAAGGATCAAACACTGACAGTGCCCCGCTCTGGAAGCACCCGTCTTGTCTGAGAGCTTACACTGGCCACCAGCCCAACACTAATTCCCCCATAGCAGTGGCTTTTAAACTTGGCTTATAAAAGAACCATCCAGAATGCCAACACAGTGCAACTAGTCCACAGCATCTCATAGTGCTAACCACAGGCAACCAGATCCACATTATTCCCCCTTCCACATACACTGGACACCATGATCTTTTCCTGCTTTTTGTGTTCTCCACTCTGCCCAACGGCCCTCTTCACACCCTACTGAGAACTTCTAAAATAGAGCTTGCAACATGACTGGACTATGACCCACCCTTGCTCACAGAAGGCAGTTGGACTTTCTTAGCTCTATGTTTGCCCTTTCACAACTTGATTCTGCCTTCCCTTTCAAAAGAATCTGAGCCTCTTTTGGACAGAGACTCTAAGACTACTTTGGAATAAGAAGGAAAGAAAACAACAGGAAAGAGGACATCAGGAGACTTTCTGAGTTCAGGTACTGTGACTAGCTAAATATACAACCTTGGGCCTCATTCTCTTCATTTACAAAGTAAAGACTAGTGATTAAGAGAATGCGGATACTTCATAAATCATGAAGTGCCATTCTATATAAACCAGGATTCTAAAAGACAGTCATTTGATCAGTGGTGCCACCATCTGCCTTGCAAGCACAAGGTCCTGAGTTTGATCCCCAGTACCAAAAAAAAAGACAGTCATTTGAAATTATTTTATGTCATAATCTTTACTAAAATTATTCTTTATCCCTATTTTAGAAATAAAAAAGCAAAACCATTCCAGTTCTACAATGAATTTTAACTTCTTAAAAATTAAATACACACACAAAAAAAATTAAATACAGAGCATGATGTTGCTTTACAACTGAAATGTTAACTCTCTTGAAACTGCCCAATTTTCTCTTCCTCTCTCAAAGTCGGTCACTATGGCACAAAATATAATCCACATCTCCTTTATGGTTCACAGAGTACTCACACATATCACATAGGTGAGCTGATACAGTCATTCAATCCTTCTAACCAAAAGTAAGTAAAACAGGCACCTTCACTTTATAGGTAAGTAAGCAAAAACTGTGAGGCTGAGGCTCCGGATCCTCCAGCCAGGAGTGCCAGCAGAGGTAGGACTCACCCAGGTCTAAAGCCCCTTGTCCAGTTCTCTCTCCACCACTATCCACAGCTGCCACCCAGCTAAGGTGGTGACTTTGAAATCAGTCATATCTCAAGCCACGAAAGAGGGTTTGGCTTAAAGTTCCTACAAAACAAGCTTACATGGAGTGCTTCTGCCACACGAAGGTACTTGGTCTCCTCGGTGGTAAGGCCCTTGTGCGGTGTGTAGCCAGCATCTCTCAGCCCTGCCTGTTGCTCGAAACGCTGAATGCTCTCCTGGGTCTGTTCTGGAAAGAGAGGAGACAAGAGTCATGCCCATCTGCTAACCCATCAGAAACCAGCAAGAGAGCACAACAGATCACAGAGGAGGGCTCCCCCAGACCCGAACCAAAGCACTAATGCTGAACCTCACACAAAGGTTCCCTGGCCAGAAGGGCCAGGGCCTTCCCTAGCACCAAGCTAAAGAGCAGGTTATTCCTAAGCAGAGAGCTGAAGAACCTCCTTACCTTCCTCTTACTTGCATACTGTGACATCTTTATATTGAGAAATGCGACACGGAGAAATCAACTGATATCCAAAGGATTCTCCAAATACAAAGTGTCCTAAGAGCTACCAACCACCCTCATCAGCCACCCAAAAACATTTGCCAAAGGGAAATAAGTCACATTCAGGCCAGCTGGTTCCAAGGTATCGACTAAATTCAATCCACAGACAACCTGCCTTGAACTGATACCAAGTTTCTTATGTATGAGGTGGTCTGTCATAACACCTGGCCCAGAAGACATTCAACATTCCTTCAGTCTGACTCAATTATTTCATAAGTCTGTTACACTGGGGAATGAATGATGGCTGAATTTTTGCTTATGTAATACACCTCTACACATAAGAATGTGGCAGCTGTGGATCAAGTGTCTAAACACCAGCTGTACTTTACGATTTAGTCTTCTTCTAAAGAAGCATCAGAAATAGAAGCAATGAAACATACACACACAAAAGCATAAAGATGTTTTCCAACTGGGCATGGTGACATATGCCTGGAGTCTAAGCACTTAGAAGGCTGAGGCGGGAGGCTTCCAAGTTCCAGGCCACCCTGGGCTACATTGCCAGTTCAAGCCCAACTTGGACTATATAGCAAGGTTCTGTCTCAAAAAAAAGTTTCCAGTCTTATCAGGTAATCACCTGAAAATCTAAAAAATAGAACTGTAATGAATTATGGTACACCAACACCAGGACTTTAAATGCCGCTTTTTTTTTTTTATTTAAGACTATAGCAAAATCAAAACTTCATGGCATTATTAACTTTAAAAAAAATAGAATGGTATGTCTACTATATCTGCAATTATGCCAAATAAGTATCTGAGTGATAGTGGTATACTGGAGTGTTATCATCTATCCTGTTGGTAAAGTGCATTTTCAATAAAGTTGCACTGTGCTAAAAAAAAAGAACAAAGGCTAAGCTTTCTAAAACATTCTCAAGCTTGCAAAATACAAGTAGTAGTTGCTGATTCAAATGGTGCACTTATGTGTGAAGAACAGAAAACCAAAGTAAGAGTTTGGACTTTTGGTTCTTGGACAAACTCTCCAAAGATTGCCCAAGACAAACTGATACATTCCTGGAGAAACAAGGGCTTGACTTCAAAATCAGCCAACCATGGAGAATCTCTAGGTACCTTAGCCCTAGTACTGACATTACTGCTGACAAGCAGAGCTGTGTATCTAATAATTGTTAACTTCCTACAGCAATTAGAATGGTCCTCCAGAATGAAGAAGTTCGGTTAATTAGTTATAGTTTTTTTTTTAAATGCAAGCTCTCATATGCCAGGCACGAATCAAATTTTTGGTTTGTTTCTTTTTGAGACAGGGTCTTGCTATGTAGTTTAGGCTGGTCTTGAACTCTATAGCCCAGGCTGGCCTCAAACTCACAGAGATCTTCCTACCTCACCCTCTCAAATATGCTGGGATTACAAGCATGCACCACCATACCCAGCAATCACACACTCCTAACATGTTCACAATGGGGCCATAATTCATATGACCCACCCGTGGTATATGCAAGACTGTCCCATCAGGTGGTACAAGCTGCCCAATGTGACAGTCAGGCATGTACCACTGGTGGTTATAACCAGTGCGAACATGTTAAAGCTAAAACAACTTGCACCAAACCTGGCCCTCTTTCTGGTGGACAACTTTGCAGGGCAAAAGGGAAATGCTCCAGCATGTTGCTTTCTCCAGCAGAGCTGGAGTCAACTACTCAACTCCTCCTCAACCCGCCAGCTAGATCCCCCACTTTACAAAGGGAAGAACAGTCTGTATAATTAAGTAATTTGCCCAAGACCACACTGATCAATATGGGAAATGATATTGTACCAACAAAACAGCAGGAATGCATTTAAATTAACTGAGATGCTTAATGTTTGGCAAATCTTCCACCTAAATGGGGCTTCACTGACACAGGTACCGCTATGTTTGCAAACCTTCTGCAGCTGAGTTGTGGACATACTCAACTCTCCTCCACCCCTACTTCACTCTTCCCTGACAATGAAAGGTGCTTACTTGTGATCAGGGAACTCATGATGACATGGGTAGCTTTAGCCTTCACCACCGGGACCTTGTCCATACTGTCAGTGGCCGTTGCCAGGGTCACAGCAGTGGGGGATACACTGGCCTCTCCTTCCTCCGCCTGTGCAAGAGAGGTAAGGCAGCACTTGAACAGGGCAGGAGTGCCACACACCTAAACTTGCTCTTTTGGGAAAGAAGTTCCTGCAATATATTTAATCTGATAAGTGAAGAAATATTTAAAGGGGACAGTGGTCATCTCCTCCCAGTTAGGCAGGTATTATATCAACCACAGTAACAAGATACAGATATTATGGCAATGCTTGGATTCATAAAAGGAAAGCCAGAATTTGAAGCTCTGAGATTCACTACCTTCCTAAGCTATATCTCTCCAATATATTCTAGTTCTATGGCTGTAAGAATCCAGAAGAAACACCTATTACAAAGCATTGACCACACAATACCAGGTAGTAAGCCTGACTGTGCTTGATCAGAGTCCTCACTAGATGGTTCTCAAACTTTGCAGAGCATCAGAATCACATGGGGCACTTAAAGTCGCTGCTGGTTCCACCCAGAGTTTCTGATTGAGTGGGTCTGGACTGGGGCTCATGAATCATTGTGACTAGGGATGAGGATGGAGCTCAGTACCACAGCACTTGCCTACCATGCACAGGCCCTGGGTCTCATCTTCACTGCGTGCGCACATACACGTGCACACTATCAATCTACGTACATACAACAAATTCCCAGGTAATCTTGATGCTTCTGGTGCCAAAACTTCGCTTCGTGGACCACTGCTGTAAAAGTCAGAGCAATGGTCTTATAAAACAAAAATCTAAATAGCTCCTAATCCTCTATGTGCAAGACCTGAAGCCTCCACTTGATTTAAACACTTAGACACTTGATATCATGGTGAGACCTAGCAGGGACGAGGCAACCTTGGTTTATTCTCTTTGCTTCTCCAAAGGAACTGAGAAGAAAGTAAAGGGGTCAAAAAGTAAAGATGAAGAAAGTACTGAAATGGATGTCTCTATCACAAAATAGGATCCATGCTTTTCAGTTATGACCTTTTCCAAGCAAAACTTGAACCTTGTTACTTTACTTGGAATAAACTTGGATCCCTAATAGGAGGATAGTTAGGGTTGATGAAAGAAAGCACATATTCAGTCTGCCTGGGCTCTCCTTTGAGAGGAGTTGTTCCAAATTCCCAGCTGTTCCAGCTGAGGCAACCAAACTCTGCCTTGTGCAGTAGCTGCAGCCTTCACATGCAGAAGTGTGCCACCCTCACAGGCAACGAGTTCTGCTCTAGTCCCTTGAGTGAATCCACTGTTTCAACATCACATGCAGGCTAACAGGGTCCTTTTCTCCTAGTTTTTCCACTTCTTTTTACACAGAACGTTTTCTCCTGAATGACCCACTGGGTTGGATTCCTGTAGACAAATGACTGACAGAAGTTTTCCCCAGAGTTGTAAAGGATGCTTTCTTAGAAACAGGCTCCTTGTTCTGACAGCATAATGGGAAGACAAAAATAACTCATTGAAAAGAAAGGCATCAACTTGGCTGTACTAAGTGAACATTAGGTTGAGAGCCAGTAGCTAACACCTAATTCATGCCAAGCCTTTAACACCTTCACGATGGGGCCATAAATTGTGTGTGTTGCTGCTAGGCAGCTTAAACCACCACTAGTACATAGAGGACTGTCCCATTGGGCAGCTTTCTATTAATTTTATTAGTAAAAAGACCAATAAAAGTAATTAGATTGTTTGTACCACCAGTGGTTCAAGCTGGCAGAAATGTGTTAAATCTTCTATTTAAACCCCACAACACCTCTAACAGAAAATATTCTTATTTCCCAGATGGAAACACTGTGGTGCAGTGCACTCTTGGGATTCACACTAGGTCTGTTTAAGCAGACCTACTGTATACTTCCTGTCAGGCCCCAAACTATCGCACAACTCAGTCTGGTGACACCATAGCTGCAGGATAAAGGGTCTTAACTGAGCATGTGTCAGACCTCGTATATTCAGGTAAAAGCAGAACCTTTCTTGGACACTTGGTGGTTGGAGTGAGATGTGAGAAGCACAGACTTCAGCAGCGCAACTGCAACCATGTGTGAGCCTACACGACAAACCGCACAAAGTGGATGACAACAGATCAAGTTGTGTTGGAAGGAGCCCAGGCCAGAGGCAGCAATTGGAGGGTGGCAATGACAAAGGCACCCAAGGCAGAGGACAGCACAAAGGAAAGCATGGCATGTGTTCAGGACAGAGCCAATTCAGTCCCTCTCACAAAAGAAACTTTTTTTTAAATCTACTTTTTTAATTTTTAAAATCTACTGGTTCCTGAATACTGTCCCTAAACACTGCAGAGAATACATAGGGTGAGCATCCCAAATTCCCAACTGCTCCAAAATATCAAACTCTGACCACCAACATGATGCCATAAGAGGAAAGTTCCACACCATGAAACTTTTTTGTTTGTTTTTGTTTTGTTTATTCTATGTACAAAACTATTAATATTGTAGAAAGCCACCTTTAGGATATATGGATATGTAATGAATATCCAAATGAATTTCATGTTTAGACTTGAGTCTCATCCCCAGGATAACTCATTGATATAGGCAAATATTCCAAAATGCAAAAAGAAATCTAAAACACTGCTTGTCCCAAGCATTTTGGATAAGGGATACTCAACCTGCACAAATCTTATACACGGCCTGTGCCCCAAGAAGCCAATGGAGGGTGAGAAAATAATGGAGGGATTATGATGGGAACTACCATACAGTGGAGAGACCAAAGGGAAAGGAGACAGACTTATCAGGAGAATGGAGATGTCAGAAAAATTTTACAGAAGAGATGTTTGAGCAAAGAAAGGATACTATTTTTCAGGAAAATTGAGAAGAAGAGAGGGAGAGAGAACAGGATCAGAATGATAAACATTTATGCAAAATGTGAAGCATAAATTACCCTATTAAGTCCATGAAACCCTAGGTAACTTGCATGGTTAGATCACTGGGAGGGGAAGCTGGGGAGAGGCAAACAGGACCCGGACATGCAGACTTGGATCATATTCCAGAGCTTTGATTTTCAATGAGGGAAGAGGGGTAGAAAAAACATCTGGGGCAGAAGACACAATCATTCTAGCTTTGAATTTAGAAAAAAACGAGGAAAACAACTGTAGCTGAGGCTCAGAAAAAACACACAGGGAGTAGATGCTGCCCAATTCTATAGGTACAGGGAGCCACTGAAGGCTTCTGGGGCAGAGGGCGGAGAACAAAGGGGTTGTATTTGCCAGAAGTAGTCAGTAGGGTCAGGTACCTTGGCGAGGTGCTGGTACTTGCGCTCTGGAATCACTGGTTTCCAGGGGATGCTGCCCATGTCCGCTGGAGGAGGAGTCATGGGCGCAGGGTTCTCCAGGGCATCATCATAGCTGAATGCCCGGCGGCACATCCCGATGGGGAGGGACATCTTGCCTAGAGGCCCACTGGGCCCAAGAGCTAAGAACAGAGACACCTGTCAAGATGGATTTAGCAACTGGACATACTAGTAGCTTTAAGTTAATCTGTAGAAAGAAAACCTCTGAAACCAGCTATTCCTTGTTCCTGAACAGCTAATCATTCAAGGAAAAGAATTCTGCTAACTTCTTCCTCTATTATTGCTACTCTGAATTCTCTACTTTAACGCAGTCAGAGTCCTAATCCATCTTTTTTTTTTTTGGTACCGGGAATCGAACTTGGGACCTTGTACTTGGCAAGGCAGGCGGCAGAACCACTGAGCTAAATCCCTGATCCCCTAATCCATTCTTATAGATTAAAGAATTTGCCTGAGCAAGGTTGCACAACTTCAAAGAAGTATGGAATCAAAATTTCAACTTAACTGCTTTCAGTTTGTGTTCACTATGCCACAAAGACCCCCTCCCTATAATGCTAAGGCTCTCAAGATTACTTAAGACTGAGGTTACAAAATGACAGAGGGTATGAAGGGTTTTTTGGTTTGGGGTTTGGTTTTTGGGGGGAGGGTATTGATTTTCTGAGACAGGGTTTCACTATGTAGTTCATAATGGCCTTGAACTCACTATGTAGCCCAGGCTGGCCTCAAACTTGCAGCAATCCCCATGCCTCAGCCTTCAAAGTGCTGGTATTACAGGTGTGCACCACCATGCCTGGCAAGAATATGAAGTTCTTGTCCTCAATTTACAGATGAAGAAACTAAACCCTAGTGGGGAAGTGATTCACCCAAATTCCTACAGAAAATGGCTAGCTGAGCCTCACAAGGCCTGACTACAAATTCTCTGCCTTCCCTATCTCAAAGATAACAGTACTAAAAGAAATAGTTTAGGCTTGGGATTTAACTCAGTGGCACTGTGCCAGCCTGGTAAGTGCAAGGTCCTGAGTTCGATTCCTAGTATGAAAGAGAGAGAAGGGGAGGGGGGGAGAAGACAGAAAGAGAGAAAGAAAGACAAAAGAGAGAGAAAGAAAGAAAGAAAGAAAGTTTAAGTAATATGTTGTCTGGCATTATCTCCAGTGTTTTGTATGATTTAAGCAGCAGAGACTTCCATCATAGAAATGCTAACAAAACAATACCAGCTGATCCTCCCATTTCTGTCCACTGGAACTAACTGCCTGAGTGTCCTGCTGTGACGCAGGCACCCCACTTCAAGGGCTCTTGTGCAGCTGTGCTAGCCAAGGGAACAAGGTTCATTCTGTTTAACTTGCTAACCCTTCCATATCAGGACTAATATCCAGGATCTGCCTTCAAGGTGACATTTTGTTGTTGTTAAAATTACATAATCATGCTGAGATCTCAACCTGCCTGGCAGTGAGTCCAAAACCACGAAAGCTAACAGCAAGGGGATCAAGCAGATACCATCTGATGACTACTAATATTAATAATAATAATTACTAATAGGACTACTAGTTGCCAGGGGCTGCAAGAAGGGGCAATGAGGTGTGACTGCACATGGGTACAAGGTTTTCTTTGTGGGGCAATAAAAATGTTCTGCAATTATAACAGTGTTGATGATTGCACAACCTTGTAAATATACTAAAAAACTTTTAAACTGTTTTGTGTTTTGTGCTACTAGAAATTGAACCCAGCACCTTCCCCAGCCCTTGCTTTGGTATGTTTTTATTTTGAGACAGGGGCTCACTAAGTTGCCCAGGCTAGGCTAGAACTTGAAATCCTCCTGCCTTAGCCTCTCAGAGTGCTGAGGTTATAGGCGTGCACCACCATGCCTAACCAAACTATTCACTTTAAATGGGTGAATTTTAAAGTATGTGTAGTATATCTCAATTAAAACAGGCAGGGCCGGGGATTTAGGTCAGTGGTTTCACCGCCTGCTGCACAAGCACAAGGACCCGAGTTCGATCCCCAGTACCAAAAAAAAAAAAAACACAGGCAAATAATAATTACAGTACTAGGCACTTATATCCCTCATCTAATCTTCACTATCTATGTGAATATTCTTCCTATTTTCCAGCTCAGGAAACTGAGGCATAGATGTATCACAGCAAGCGTGGGGAAGACCTAAACCAGGGGTTAACACTCCACACTCAACATTACAAAACATTAACCAACAGTGCAACAGTATTGCTCAGTATGGTCACAGGGAGTTTATGATAACTGCAGCAACAGTGAAAGACAACTAACATGCAAGCTGATGATATTAGACACTAGAGATGGATCCATGTTGGGGACATGTATTAATCCACCTAATTTGGGAGCAATTTCAAAAACATCATTAAGATTTCTCTTAATAGCCTTCCTAAAAATTTATTTCTTAGAAAATATATTCCTACAGAAACCAAAAATTTTTCTTCACAGTAAATGCCTATTTAGTACCAACTTTTAATTCACATTTTCAAAAATCCGCTGTTTAGTCTTCATAATAAACCTGAGATAGGCACTGCCATCTATACTTCACTGAGAATCCAAAATTGAAAGATTCAGAAGTAAAAATCACCTTCCCTTCTGAAACAACAATCTAAGAAGAAATTCCATAATCAAGAAATTATTGCTATGCACACTCAGGACTTGTTAACAGGAACCACAACTCATTCTGAATTTTTATTTGATAGAAAGTAACACATGTGTCATACCCTTAAGTGAAAGTCCTTTTCTTACCCCCATACTGGGGATCAATTCCAAGGGCACTCTATCACTGACTAGAATCCCAGCCTTTTAATTTTAAGACAAGGTCTCACTAAACTGCCAATTCAAGTGGCCAGGTGTGGTAGCACAAGCTTATAATTCCAGCACTTGGGAGGCTCAGGCAGGAAGATCACCATGAGTTTGAGGCCATCCTAGGCTAGTGAGCTCAAGGCCAGCCTGGGCTAACACCAAGACCCTGTCTCAAAAAAGCAAGTATAATAACAGTAATAATAATAAACCAATGATATCTATCTATTAGATCTAAATTCTCAGTGGCAGAAACCCATTAATATATGGTTTAGGCAGAATTATTTCTGTCTACTTTAAAACATTATGGGCAATACATGACTTAACCAAAAAGAATTAAGTTTACCAGGCACTTCTGGTTGTCTTGAAGCCATTGAAACACTGGGATCCAGGTGCTTTTTCTATAAAGAATTCGGAGATGAGTCCCTGTCACCTGACAAAAATAACAAAGTGCATTTTCTCTTGGTGAAAGCAAAGATCATTTCAATGTTATTCTTTTAACAGGCACACAGATGTACAGCTTCCTAACAAAGTTGAAACACACACACACACACACACACACACACACACACACACACATATATACAAGAGCCAATATCCAAGGAACATGTCGATGGGGTGAGGAAGTCAAAGGTCTCACCACAACCATGGCTGAAACACTAGGTGAAAAAACATCACCTTACCACAGTGAAATGATGTCACGACTATGCTGACAGATGTTAATGAGGAACACTGTCCAGCTGCTGCAAATTAGTAAAGCTTTTCAGGAAGAGTCCATCCAGAGGTTCTAATGACAACAAACAACCAGCATTGGTACAGACCTTTCAAGTCTTTTAACCCTTGCAGCCACACTGCAAAGCAGGCCTCATTTATACCAAATTTCTGTTCAAGCTCATAGACATCTGGCCTCTCTGCAAGGCAGGTAGTTTCCCCATTTTAAAGGGGAGTTAAAATAAAAACCTGAGAAAGGTACTTGCTTTTAAATTTACTACTGTCCCCTTCTAATCGGATAGAGCTCAGAGAATAAACCAATTAGTTCTTCACTAAAGAGCATCGCAAAAAACAAACTTCAGCCATCCTCCCCGGCCAGGGAGCATTCCCCACCCAGAAACATTCTTCCCCTTTCGCCACAGGCCCTCTCCCGTCCAGAGCAACAGCCCTCACACTTCTTCACACAAAGCCACCAGGATCTGAAAGGGCTTGTCTGACCCCTCTGCCCATCACACCCCTGGAGGATAATACTAAAGAGATTAGAGCCAGGCCCTGGCCCACGGCCGACGTTCCCCGAGAAAAAGACAAGGCCGGGGCTTGAAAATTAAGGGTTAACAGTGGGGTGGGGCGTGGGGGTGCCGGGCTGGGCGAGTCAGAGAAAGCAAAGCGGAAAAGCCCAGCGCCAGGGCTCCCGAGGCTCATCAGAGAGAAGCCCCATTAGTCACCTCGGCCAGCGGGGCGAGACACAAGGGCCCAGTAGAGTTTTGAGCTGGGGTAAGGGCAGGGGGGAAAAGCACGGAAGGGCCCCAAGCCCAGGTCTAGATGGAGGCGCCGGAAGCGCCCCTATAGCTGGACAGAAAGCTTAGCACCAAGGAGGACCCCCCAACCCGCCATCTGGTCACCTGTTCTCCCGCTGCCGCCAAGAAGCCTGCGGCCCAAACTCCAACACTAAAGAGGCTCCGACGACCCACATCTCCCGAGAGGTTGTGGCACAGTCCAGACCGAAGCCATTGTGAAAGAGGCGGCAACACTCACAGCCGACACCAAGATCTGCCGAGCACTAGCTACCTGCCGGCCTACAGCCTTGGTGATAAAGCCTCCGAGACCCCGGCACTTAGCGCGAGACTTGACCAGGGAGCCACCCGGTGCATGCTGGGAATTGTAGTCCACAGTCCAGCGGCTCAAAGGGGCCGTGCAGTGCAAAAGCCACACAGCTGGAAGAGCAAAATCCATCAGTTCCCAAAAGAAAAACCACCTTTTACCATCACTTCCTAAGTGCCTGCTCTTTGTCTGAGTCTGACACGGGCTAAAGATAGAGATGGCATAGTAAAGACCCCTCAAATTCTAGTGCAAGACTCTGTCGGGAGCCACTCTACATAATTTTGGGGAAAAAATATTTCATAATTAAAGTATGACTATAGTTGTACAAGGCTCAGTGTCACCTTGCCTGCAAGCTGGCTATGGCATACGGAAACATAACTCCATTTTTGTCTCCAGTCGCAGCTGAGACCTCAATGGTTCCGTGATGCTGTGATACTCAAGGGCAAGATTACATCATGCATTGACATAAGATTACTGCCGCCCCGTAAGTCACCAGATACTCTTTCCATTTATTGTATGTACCGAATAAATAATGGCTAGCTCAGAGAGTCTTTGTCTTTGTCCACTCTGAGGCACTAACCTCCCCCCCCCGCCATATTTTGAAATTATGCAAGCCTCTGTAGTCTTTTTTTCTTTAGCCGTCGCTGTCCCCCTTTCTAGGCAGTTGGAGGATTGATCACCCTCCAATAAGACTCAAAAAGGGCTGCCAAGTGCCAAAGCTTATCATTCTGGTTGTTTTGGGTTTGGTTTGATTTGGTTTTTTCTATTTCACAGGTGTAAGCTGAGGCTGATAGAAATGAGAAGTCACTTCAATTAATAACAAGTGGTGAAGTAAGCAGAGACTGTCTTCCCAAAATAGCTGGCTTAGGCAGGATCATGTTAGTAGCTGAACAAAAAAGGGAAGACACTGTGCCTGCCACCTCTAGGTCAAATCATTTCCCTTTTACACTAACAAAAGTGAGGCTGGGAGGGGTACCTCAGCTCAGATCCCAAAAGACTTCTTTTTCCAGAAGTGTTTACAAATAGGACAAAGAAACAATGTTGAGGAAGTGGAAAATTTGGGGGAAAAAAATCTACCCAAATCTACCAGGTCAAAAGTTGCTGTAAGGGCCAGGGATTTAGCTCAGTGGTGCTGTCGCCTGCCTTGCAAGCACAAGGTCGTGAGTTGCATCCCCAGTACCAAAAAAAAAAAAAAAAAGTTGCCATAAAAGCTCATCTCAGGAGGGCAGGAGCAATGATGGAGGGAGTGCATGCCTCACTTTTGGGTTTCACCATCTGAAGTTTGCCAGGCACCCTGGCAGGGCTGAGAGAGGATTTGCTACCCTAACTTTCAGCTTAAGCACCATTACCAGAGTGTGCCAGGAATTAAGGTATTCTGTAACTTCTATAATTAACTTGTGAATAGCACAATTACATTGCAGTGTATTTTAAATGTGTTACTTTGTTAATTTGGGACTTTGAAAATATGCTATATTTTTAACCTCAGTGGAAGCAAAGCTGACAGCCTGTCCCCTTCCACCATGAAAAAGGAGTACGTTCACAACTTAGAAGAGAAATACAGCATTTTGCTTTTTATACAAATTATGTCAGATTCACCTCATTTAGTTCTTATCCACAATCACATTAAAACATAAGCTTTCCCTGGAAGTTGCTGACTGATTAAAACAACTTTATTGACCTAGGTGTGGTGGGTCATACCTATAATCCCAGCACTTGGGAGGGTGAAGCAGGAAGATTACTGCAAGTTCGAGGCCAGCCTCAACTACGTAGTGAATTCAAAACCAGCCAGAAGTACATAGTGAGATGAGACCTCATCCTAAAAAACAAAAAAAATGTATCCCAGAATTCTGTGGTACCAGTATCTGAAGCTATGCCATAACCTTGGCTGACAGCAAAGTTAAGTAAAAATTACTAAAGACTATTGTTTTAGTTCCTGCAGTAGGCCACAACAGACCCAGCTAAAAATGAAAATCAAATCACTCAAGCTAAAGTGAAACTAAGGTGTTTACCTGATATACCAGCTAGGGTTCACTAGAGAAACAGGTTTAATATAAAAAATGTATATGATATATAGAGCATTTACAAGATAGGCTTACAATGGCTACCTGCAGAATCAGGGATGGAAAAATCCAAAAGGGCCAGAAGATCCAGTCAAAAGTCAAAGGCCTGGAGCTCACTGCAGAGTTCAGTGCAAATGTAAAACCGCTGTCTTTACCAAAAGCTCTGAGGAGCTGACTATAGTGAAGCACACCCAGGGATCCCAGCGGTGCCTCCAGAATGTAAGACCAAAGGCCTTACACCAAATGCTCCAAGGAGCTGGAGTGGAGCACACCCGGGGATCCCAGCGGTGCCTCCAGAATGTAAGACCAAGGGCCTTACCAAATGCTCCAAGGAGCTGGAGTGGAGCACACCCGGGGATCCCAGCGGTGCCTCCAGAATGTAAGACTGCTGTCTTTACCAAATGCTCCAAGGAGCTGACTGCAGCGAAGAACACCCGGGAAGGAACACACCGAACAAGTTAGAAAGTGAAACAGACCTTAGTCTGGCCAGACGGCACTCCCAAAGCAAAGTAGCTTAGAGAGGTGTAGTCTAGAGTCCAAGGCTCTTTTTATAGGGGCTTGCAGGGGAGTTAACAGGCGAAATTTACAGAAGAAGGAACAAAGGTTTAGTGGTCTTACATTTGTATGTTAATTAGCCTGACATGTACTGATAGTCAGCAGATGCTTTGTAGATTGTTCTATAGATAGTGGTGTCTGGAACAAAGGGTTGGATAATTATGACTGATAGGGATCTTATCTAGTGTCCCAGAACTAAGAAGCATCTTTATCTATTTACTCACATTCAATCACAGGTGGGGCTAGGGGAGTTTTATGATTACAGAGTTATGCAGTTTTACACAAGTCCCTATGGGGAAACCGAAGGGTCTGCATGGGAAGGCTTGATAAGACTCTGGAAGCCTGAAGGAACTGCAGATGACATCCAAAGGCGATGGCAAAGATGAGCTCCAACAAAAAAGTAAAAAAGGGAAAACTTCCTTAGTCTGTCCCTTTTTTATTCCATCCAGGCTATGTGGGACCAGAATGACTCCATTTTGTCCAAAATGGAGCAGTCTCCTTTGTTCTCTCAAATTTGTGCTTGATCTGGGACAAAAGACATGATCTGTAACTCAAGATTCCTAAGCTCATTACTCAGCCATCTGTTTGCCCTAAAAACAAGTGTCCCGGGCCCACTATCTATAGGACAATCTGTTAACGTGCTGACTATCCACACAAGGTGGTCATGACCATGAGTCAAGATGTCTGCTGACCATCAGTACGTAACAGTAGACCACTAACCTTTGTCCCCATTTTTCTTGTAAAAACCTATACGTAATCCCCTTCAACCCCCAATGAGCCTAGCCAATCAAAATTCTACACTTCATACTTGCTAAATGTTAACCAATCATATGGCTGCTAATGACTGAAGCTTGCTGTAATCTCAATAAAAACCCTGCTAATTTGGAACTCGGGGCTCTCAATCTTGATCCGCTGTGTCGGTGACAACTGAGAGTCCCTGCTTAAGC